GGCGCATTAGTTGGCATCGCCCTATATCTCTATGGTTTTGAATAACCAATCAGATTTCATAATTTCAACTTCTCTTCACTCCGCATAGCTCCGCTTCGCGCCGCACTGACACCGCTCTCAAATTCGATAGAAAAATTAGTCCGCCCGACTCTTCTCCGCTCCGCTTTGTGGAAACCGGGCCTAAGGTCCGAGTTCCATCGGAATGGAGGAAAATCAAGAAATGTAGAAGAAGTAGAAGGAAAAATGATAAGTAAGTAGAGTGACCAAGAAAAAGCTTGATACAATCATCTCCCAACATACGAATGAAAAAAATCCTATTTGTATTATTTGAAATCCAACACGTATTCTCCTTTACGATACTGATGTGATTCTATATAATCTTTTTTTTTTCAGACAAGTAACGGATTCATACAGGCTAGCCTTCTTTTTTCTCTTTTTTTTTTCGGGAAATGCTTTGCGCATACCCCACTGCTAGCGTAGGTTGCCTGTTTTAACCAAACTGAAATCTAATACTGAGTCAAAAAAATTGTGTTCGTATCTGGGAATTGAACACGTAACCCTGTATTTTGCTGTAAGAGATAAAACAAGAGGTAACCGTTATTACACTGAATAAAATGTAACTACATTTTTATGTTAAGAATTACAAAAATGTATAACAGCATCAAGTAGAAATAGTATTAAAAGAAACATTATTTTGAAATCCCTTGAATCTGTCATCAATATTATTCAGTCAAATGACAAATTAAGATGTCCTTTCCAACACAAAATTAAGCCCCTGGAAGCCGCGTCTTAACTGTACCTAACAATAAAAATATACGACAGTTACTTATTTATATGAAAGGCAAAGGTTTTTAGTGGAGCTCGTAAACCGACTCATCCTAACAATGGTTGACAATAAAACATGAAAAGTGCGTTAACGACCTATAAAATCTTGTTTACTATGTGCCGTTAAAATCGGACGAATAGATTATTGTTTGGGAATATTAAAGATATTGGAAGAAAACATCAGGTTTTCTGGCATATTCCTTGAAGAATATTATTACTGCACTGATTTGAAAAGAAGGGGACAATTTTGGTGTGTCTGGAAATACGCTTTGATGATTTATATTATTCAGTAATGGATGTCAATATAATGATAGATTTTCCGCAGGAGATGCCATTTTGATGTTTGTACCCTGTTGTTTTAGTTGTTATTTTATTTTGTGCATTTTACTTGCACAATACAATATACGAGTACTTACTCGTACATTATCCGCGTAGGCCAGAATCATAACGACAAATGCATAGAAATTCGTTTTGTCATGTTTCATTATGAATTAATAATTAAGGTTAATGTTTCCAATTTTATCAACAAAATATTATTATTATTTGTCTTAATTGAATAAAAAGATGGGTATTAGTAGACTAATTGAAATTTTGAGACAAAACACCTTCGGGTGTGTCTAGATTTTACAAAGAAAATTAATTATAATAATTTTGGTCGTCTAATTGCTAGATTTTAATACAACTTTTCAAAGCTTTATTAAATACCTAGACAAGCACAAAGTAAAATTTAAAAGATTTTATGAAAATTTCTCTTAGATAGAGATGAAATTATAATTGTGCTATTTGCGGTATGTAGAGAAACTGAAGAAACTTCGATATTAAATTATACAGAAACAAGACAATTTATTTAAACGACACTTTACTTGTACATCCAAATAAACCTAAATTGGTCTGATAGTGGGAACAATTACTTTCCATGCACTAATCTATCTTTATCTATGAACTCACTCGTCATGAAATCTCAGAAACCACATGATGTGCTAGGAGTATCAAATTTTGCATAGGGGTTCCTTTTAGAACAGAGGTGCTCACAAAGACGAGAATTTGCAAAATTCAACCCTTATAAGGGTAAAACGGGGTCCACGCGCTTGAAGTCGCGGGCGGCCGCTAGTTACATATTATACGAGTAGCTGCAATTGAATCTAAAAGCTTGTTTTCTCTAGGAAATTACCACTTTGACATCCCAAACAAAAACCTCAACATCAGATAATACTTCACTGTTCTTGCAACAGTAATTAAAGTAAAAAGTGTACTGCACAATGTACTTTGTTTCAGAGCCAACAAGGTTTTTTTTTAACTTTTCGCTGTCGCGGCCAGAACTCTTTGGAACTACGACAAAGTTTTAATAGTTTAACGTTGGACTCTCAAGTTACAATGAACCGGTATAATGATTTTTCAAAATTATGACGCCCCACTTAGCTGCGAATAACGAGTTTTATAGTATCAGTTAAAAAGTTTGGTGATTTTACGAGGGTATCGTTTTAAGTTGGCTTCATTAATTTATTTGAGCTTCGACAAGCAAAATCCTAAACTATAACAGCTATAAATATATTTAGAATGCTTCGACACGTACTTCTTTTAAAATCGCCGTTCGAATCAAAATGGATTGAATCTCTAGCTCAAATTCAAGTATGTGATTGGTAGAACTGTAATAATTCAATCAGGTATTCTTGATACTCTACCGAGTATTTAGTGTTGCTTCCTAGAATTTGTAAGAGTCAGTGAAGATGCAACAACTCCGTGTCTCCTTTACATCAAGAGAGCGAGAGAGAGCACACTGCTGCTGATGTTACTTAACAACTTATTAATATAATATCGAAGTTTAACCCTTCAAATACCAGTAAGTAAACAGTAAAACACAAAAGAAAGACATTTTGAGGGCGGTTTTTAGGACACATGTGGGTGTACGGGTTAAAGTAGGTAACAGTAAAAATAAACAATAAAACACAAAAGAAACACACTTTTAGGGCGGTCTCATAATACACATAAGGGTGTACGGGATAAACGATGTAAACAAAACCTAATACGAATCTGGCTGTCACACTCACATAAGTTTGATTGATTGATTACTCAAGCGTAAATATAGACACATTATTTGAGCATCCAAAAACAATATTAAAAGGAAAGTATCGAACTTATTCATCATTGTAACAAACCTCTCGAATCTTCCATAAACAGTGAAAAGATTGAACGCTTTCGCCTAAATATATTTACAAAGTCAGTGTTCCGCTCGACCAGACAATTTAATGACTTTCTTGAACTTTGTTCCCTGTAGGTGAACGATATTAAAAACATTTCATTCTTCCAATGAATAAAAGATCGTTTGGAAAGTTCCAGGAAAAAGATATAATTTAATGGGAAGTATTTAAAAGCCTATCAAAGAATGAAGTCAAATGAAGGCGACGCTTTGTTGAAATAGATATGAATTATGAGGACATAAGGCTATGGAGACATAATTATCCCACCAAAAACATTCTGTAAAAAACTAGCCAAGTCTCGATGGAGCTGCTTGTTTATCTCTAAAAAGTAATGAAATCTAGACAAAGTCGTGCCAAGTCTATGGTTCCTTACCTACTGCGATTTCTTTATTAATATAGTTAATGTTGTGTGACTTGGCCGTTGAAGGGTACAAAACCAGGTGCTCCATGACACGTTGCACCAATCTATCGCCAGAACCGCTACCCATTGACAATGGAATTGCCTCTTGGAAAACGTTGATTCAATGACCAGTCAATTGTAGGCTTAATAAAGCTGCGTATTTCAATAATACTTATGTATAATTATCTTAATAAAGATAGTTCAACGGCCAAGTCACACAACATTAACTATATTAATAAAGAAATCGCAGTAAGGAACCATAGACTTGGCACGACTTTGTCTAGATTTCATTACTTTTTAGAGATAAACAAGCAGCTCCATCGAGACTTGGCTAGTTTTTTACAGAATGTTTTTGGTGGGATTTCACTTCTTTTTGTAGAAAGTGGCATAATCTTTTAAAGTCGTCGTCTTTTAATGTTATCCAAATTTTTTTTACGATATTAAATTAATAATCTGGACACCGCGGTGCAGAAATTCGACGCTCAAAGTGCTAGCGCCATCTAGCGGTGAGCGGTACTGGCGAACACCACGGTGCCGGTGTGGCGCATGAATGTGGTGTTACTCCAGATCTTCGAATTTCCTAGTTTTTATAGTTTTCCCTTTATGTGGCCATTAAACCCTAACTCTGTACCAAATTTCAGCTCTCTGAGTTTATGGGAAGTACTAGTTCTATTTTGATGATCATCAGTGAGTGAGTGAGTGTCATAAATGCGAAACTTTGCTTTCGCTTAACTTCGGAACTAAATGACCTACAGACTTGAAATTTTGGATTTTAAGTATGTGATTATAGCTTACTAGATGACGAAAATTTCTGCGTTCTGGTCTTATCCAGAGGTTCTCAAATAGGGGCCTGAAAATGCGGCGAAATGGTTCCAGTAAAGGATGGTACGGCAGTGTTTGCTTCGCGCTCGACTTGGCGGGGGCACTGCCGTGCCCCCAGATGTATAGAGGGATTTTGTACGTAAGTAAAGATTCAGATCCATCATGGATATCAAAGTTTATTAGACACTAGCAAGCAAGACAGACAGACAGAGTTACTTTCGCATTTAAAATATTAGTATAGATAGTATAGATGAATATATATTATACTTATAAACAAGGCGTTCCTCTTTCATATTTTCGATATAATTAGTCAGTACATACGAGCCTTTACAAGACGAGAGTGAATAGAAATTTATTGGACAGGGTTGTACCACACTAGACTGCATCTCACTAGACATCAGGTGACCTGTCTTATTATACAAAAGAAAAGTTATCGAAGTTTTTCCGAGTAGAAAACTCGCATTATCCCTTCAAGCACCAGTAAAAAAGTCAAGTCAATTAATAAGACCGTCTTTGTTTTTTATCCATAATGAGGAAGCTCTTGGCCTGTATCTCACCTGATGGTAAGTGACGATCAGGCCGAAGGTGGAAGCGAGCTTCACCCGGAATCCTCAACCACGGAGGAACTGGCTATCTTACCTCTAAATGCCGGAACACAATAATGCTGTTAACATATAACCTACCTATGTAATATAGGTCTTATGAGACTATTTCGGTACACATGGTATAAATAAAGGTTTACTAAAGGTACTCACATCGACATCGATCCCGGGCGACGGGAAGATCCTCGTGAATGGGAACTCTTTGGGCAGGTAGCTGAAGAACTCCTGCCTGCCCCGGTACCACTTCACGCTGTACAGAGTCTCGTTACCCTCGAGGGTCCATTTGCACATTAACAACACTGTGTCACCGAGCCTCACCGCGGAGGGCGAGATTAATTGCACGTCCTTTAACGCTATTGCATCTGAAACAAAAGAAAGATGTTGTATAATAAGGTCACACCGCCTTTTTGCGTCCAAATGACGGAACGTAAAAACAGTGGCGATTGTAAATGATAAAAGTTAGTTGAAGCCACGACAGCCGAACGGTGAAGGGGTCGGACTGGCCGACTCGTGATCCGAGGAATGCGGATTCGGTCCCCGCCGCCGCTATTGTGGTGAGCTCACTCTTGATAGAAGCATATTTAGCTTAGTACGAGGGGCTAACGGGACTATTAGTAATTTGTGTAATAACAAATTACTAATAACCTTGAAAATAAACGTTAAACTTTTAAAAATCTCGCTGCATCTAAAAAACACGTAAGGAACGTTTATTGATACAAGTACAGGACATAGAACTTTTTATTTTACTGCTACTAAAGATCTTACAGTGTGACTTTATCCCAACTATTCTTTATACTAGTCTGTCTGTCTGTCTGTCTGTTACGCTTTCCCGCTTAAACCTCGCAACCGATTTTGATGAAATTTGGCATAGAGATAGTTTGAGTCCCGGGAAAGAACATAGGATAGTTTTTATCCCGGTTTTTGAAACAGGGACGCGCGCGATAAAGTTTTTCTGTGACAGACAAAATTCCACGCGGGCGAAGCCGCGGGCGGAAAGCTAGTGTGCCAATAAATCGTAGAGTTACATTTCAACGCTATTCAGCTAAAATGAAAAATACAATAATAATAATGTTCTGTATGTATCTATGTATTTCAATAACAATCTTTAATAAAGAAAACGTCCAACTTATGCGTTATTTGAATTACATATCACATTATTATTTCACCAGTAGTTATCATAACGAAGTGTATATAGAAAGACAACATAATTTCGATCAGAACGTCTTATTTATCCGACACAAATACTATAAATACTGATTCACTGTAATTCAACATTGGGGAACGTTAACTCGATTTGTGTTATGAAACACAAGTCCGCAAATCAATTGGCAACCTACGATAACATTCGCCCTATTTTTTTCTCTAACCGTAATCATATTAAGCCAAGTCGAGTTTTTGTGTGGAATAAGTGCTCAGCCTTAATATCGGTGGCGATTACAAAAAGAGCCTTCAGAGTAATATCACTCATATTTACTTCTTAGCTTGAATGATGTGAGAATATTTGGATATATTATATCCATTAAAAAGGATTCGTCTACCTAGATGGATATTTTTAACTACAACAAAGGCTTTCACTACTGAAGCAGCGATTCTTAGGTATGATTTACTTAAAATATATTTGACTAAAGAGAAGAGCCACGTTGCAAAAACGTTGAAAATATTTAGTCTTTTTAATCATTTAAAAAAAGTATTAGTATCTAAATTAGTCACTGCACCCTAACCTTAGTTTTTCTTTTACGCTCCCCAATTAGCCCACATAACCAAAGTCCAAGCAAACATGGACATATCCTCAACTAGATAAGCATCACCCCTAATCCTCGACTTCCTCAGAAACCATTCACATAACGAGCTGAGGGTATAACGACAAACTCAATATTGTTTCCATAAGATACCGTATTAAGTGCCCTCAGTCACAGGTAAAAGAAAAACGACAACCCGGAAAGTTACTGTGTGGTGTCTCAGTCATGTTGCTACAGTCAGCGTCAAATAGTTCGTGACCCCCAAAATAGTCAAAAAGTTCGCGACACGCCTTTGTTACAATTAATATGGTTGTCTTGTCAAGTTACTGGTCTCTTTGGGTGTCACGAACCATTTTGAGAGACATCAGCAAGTCATCTAAATAATACGGCGTCTTCTTTAGTTCATAATATGGGCGATATTGCAACAACTCAAATGGTACATTAGTGAGCAGATGTAACATGCTACCGTTACATCATCATCATCATCATCATTTCAGCCACAGGACGTTCACTGCTGATCATAGGCCTCGCAATGACTTCCACGGTCGCACGTCGCACGGTTGGTAGCGGCCTGCATCCAGCGCCTTCCTGCTACCTTCAGGTCGTCGTTCCACCTTGTGGTTGGACGTTTTCCGGTACGTGGCCTCCACTCCAGAACCTTGCTGCCCCATCGGCTGTCAGTTCTGCGTACTATGTGCCCTGACCTACCGTTAAATGGCTTACCGTGACTTTATTTTTGTTACTTTATTGTGGTAATTTATATTTTATCAATGTATTTTGTCCACTTCCATTTCAACTTTTTGATTGATGTATTTATACGTTTGAGAAATAAATGTTTTGTAAAGGCTATGGTTGTGTTTTTCTATGTAGAGGTAGAACCCAAAAACTCTAATAGAGAGTCCATCTCGCTACCATTGTACTACGTAAGAGTTTGACTTGCGAATTGAAACTTAATTTATTTTTGTAAAGCTCGACTTTTGAAAGCGCTCTTACTTTTATATGAATACCGTTTACTGTTTTATCAAGTAGTGTTCTTCGAATCTATACTAATATTATAAATGCGAAAGTAACTCTGTCCGTCTGCCTGTCTGTCTGTCTCGCTTTCACGCCTAAACCACTGAACCGATTTTGATGAAATTTGGCATAGAGATAGTTTGAGTCCCGGGAAAGGACATGTAATGTTTTTATCCTGGTTTTTGAAACAGGGACGCGCGTGATAAAGTTTTTCTGTGACAGACAAAATTCCACGCGGGCGAAGCCGCGGGCGGAAAGCTAGTATCGAATAAACATGAACATATTAATTCCAAACACACTCATGAGTTTTTATTATTATTCCATTCCATGAAAAATATTGGAATAACATTGGAAATATTTCATCAATTTGGCCGGTCTATTTTGTTTGTGTCCAGTTGGTCTTTAATTAAGGATGCCCTCTGTAACGCAATATCTTGGGTTCCGTCCAACAGTTCGACGATATTAATATCATTTACATTTCGACCGAACGATATTGCTTATTTTTTGCTGTTATTTTCATAAATATACAAACAAAGTCGGCCGTTTGATGTAGTGGTTCAGAACGGACTACTATGCCGAGAGGTCCCGGGTTCGATTCCCGGCCGGGCAGAAATTGAAATGATGCATTTTAGTTTCTGTGACGAGTCTGGGAGTTACTATGTATAATATGTATGTATTTAAAAAAAAGTATACTAAGTAGTATATCCGTTAAGCTAGCACTCATAGCACAAGCATTAAGTTGCTTACTTTGGGGCTAGCTGGCGCTGTGTGAAATTGTCCAAAGATTTATTTATTTATTTTATTTAAATAGAGCGGCGTTTTTGTTCAAAGTTCAAACGTACAAGTCGAAAGCCCTAAAACTAATTACAGGTTAATATATTTTGCTCATAATCAAATGAAACCTTGTTAATAAGCAAACTGCTTTGATCTAGGTACGTTCCTTTGGCAAATAATTTGAGGTAATTTCATGTATTATTTGTTTATTTAAACTATTTTATGGGCGAAATTGCGATTTTAATTCTTACGTAGTGCATTTTACGAATCATTTTCTAATACAGCTATAACAGCATATCAAGCTGTCAAGTATCATCTGGTAATTATAGAAAGTGCTCTTTGGCAATGAAATGTAGGTACAAAGGGTGGATTCGACCAAAGAAGAGTACTTAAATATTATTCTCAGAATAAATTTATCAGTTTTGTCATATTTCCCATACTGAAACTATCAATGTGCCAGTTATACCAAGAGTTATTTTCGGATAAAAGTTTGGTCGAATCGGGCCTTAATTGGATTGGATCGGAAAGTTAATACTTTTAGTATCACAAAAAATCAATTACCTACCTAATGGTGATTTTAGTGTCAGGACCATTTAATTTTTTTTTTTTTCATAATCTTCACTTAAATTAATATAAAAATGTCTCAAAAATGATAAATATAACTCTGTTATCTTTACTAATAACATATTCGTAGATATTTTTTAACTCGCAAAACAACTGCGCACGGAAAGTGAATATTCGTTAGCGATGTCCAGTCAGTTTTCCCAAACGTTTGCGTCAAACAATACCCTTCTCTTCCTGATAAACTCCACTTTACCCTGACCTGTGAGGCAACCAAATAAGTAGAGAACACCAACCAGAACTGGACGTTTCATATACTTCAGAGGGGTCTATTAAAACTGGTCGCGTATGTCCTTTCTACTCGTGCGTTGTCGCTCCTCCGGCCAGATTTTAAAATGCAAATTGAATTTTAGTTTGAAGGCCTGACACAATTCATTGTTCTGAATATTTTTATTTTAGGTCACTCGGGGCGAAAGAAACTATGAGGCTAATGTGACTAATTGGTAAAGGAAATACTTGCCTAAATTTTCAATAGTTAGGAGCTTTCATATTCAGATAACCTAAAAGAATTTTCTGATCAAATCATCATTACACTAAAGTCTTACAAAGAAAATACTCGCTTCTGATCTAAAAATAGCTATCGCTAACTCAGTTATAAAAAAAAATACGTAATTATTCAATGGAAAATTTTAATATTGAATAATTCAGTAAAATACTTTTTGTCATAAAACATAGTAAGACTTCTTTTTTTAAGGAGTCTTGAAGGAAATTGCTGTAAAGTAACTCTATTCATAGCGTTTTTCCTAGAATATTTTGTCATTAATGAACATAAAGTTTAAGTTTGACTTAGCCCATCAGATTATAGACTATAAGATTTTAAACTTTCACGATTCATTTCAATTAAAATAGTAAGACACGGGTCTTAACGCGACGTTTATTAATGAGTTACATTATGTACTCACGGCTTGACGTTTCGGCTACGATGCTGCAGCCGTGGTCAAGTTAATAAACGTCGCGTTAAGACCCGTGTCTTACTATTTTAATAGAATAGAGACTCTTGAAAGCAAATTCGTTATTATTACAACGACTTATAATACCAGCGAATACCTTGATGTGAATGTCTCTCATTTTAACCCCGATAAACGTTTTCAACCGACTTCAAAAAGGCGAAGGTTCCCAAATTATAGGTTTTTAAGTTTCTTAATAAAAAAAGAGATGTTTCGCATATTTTAATGAGTTTGTTTTGATTAAAATATTATACAGGGTGAATTTGCAATCAGTCTCCAAATAGGAGTGACTCAGAATCAGTAACTCAATCGATTCACGTATTTTTTTTCATATCTAAGTAAAAATTTGCACGACTTTGACACTTAACCTTTAAAACTTAAGATATAGAATTTCAATATCTTTTTGCGAAATATACAATTCTAATATAGAGCTTATTAAAAAAAGGATACTGTTTACAAAATCACCCTATATGTACCCTCAGTAAAATAAGTACCTACCCTCAGGGTTAAGAACTCTAGTAAATTGTAATATCTGTTATTAATTTTGTGATTCGGAAAAGTAATTACCCTGTATAAAGTCCCTAACATTCAGAAATACATTTAATGCGAACGTTTCCTGGTAAAGTGTGTTTGATTGTCATTTTTGTTTGTTTTACGTTATAAGACATCTTACAAACGAACGAAACCTAAGCTCATATTTAATTCACCTGGGAATCAAACTGCGAACTTCTAAGGCTGAGTTGCACCACCTTATTTTAACCGTAACAATGTCAATAACCGGTGCTTTTTGTATGGAGTTTGACAGATTTTTGACGTTTGTCAAAGTTAAAGTAAGATGGTGCAACTCATAAATTTTAAACCACTGGATATCAAAAACACAACACTATCTGGTTCAATATACTCGTAAGGTATTATCGATCTCTACAAAAACAAACGTCATGAAGTTTGTTTGAAAATGACCTTACTAAAGCTACCTTACTAAATTGGGGCAAAATCATATTTAACAACCAACAACGAGCATGGAGCTTTGTAAATATTTCACGTACATTGCAAAGGCACGACATTTTTCTTTGTTTTACCGTTTCTTTGCAAACTTTATTTTCCCTTTAAACATTACGGAATTCAACGTATTTACTGTATCTGACGGGCGATTCCGCAAAATATAAATAAAAAGGATGCAGTAGAATCTGAGGTGTGCTTTGCATATAGGCATTCATTTTTAGTAAGTTAAAAGTTCTATTGCCACTTGATTTTAGCAATTCTGCGAGCTATGTCGGTCACTTTGGTTCTCCTGCGGATCCCCTCATTTCTGATTCGATCACGCAGGGAAACTCCAAGCATGGCCCGCTCCATCGCCCTTTGGGTGACCTTGAGCCTTCTTATGAGGCCCATAGTAAGCGACCACGTTTTAGATCCATATATAGGCCTCCTACTAGGTGGACCGACGATCTGGTAAAGGTCGCGGGAAGAGCCTGGATGCGGGCAGCGCAGGACCGTGCATTATGGAAGACCTTGGAGGAGGCCTTTGTCCAGCAGTGGACGTCATTTGGCTGAAACGAACGAACGAACGAACAAAAAGTTCTATTTAGTTAGGGGACATCGAGGAGAGTTATGACACTGTCGATTTTTTGGAACCTATTTTGCAACAATCGTAGACTCTGTTATAGAATACTTTAGGCTGAGTTGCACCACCTAACTTAAGCCGTAACTATAATGATAACCGATGCTTATCGTATGGAGTTTGTCAATTTTTTGTTAAAATAAGATTTTGCAACCCAGCCTAAGAGTTTTTGCAATTTTAAACACGACTAAAAATGTGAGCTTATTGAATAAGCTTCTATTACGCGTATTGTGTAAAACCGTACACTTCC